TGACTGAGTCGGGTGCAATTTTTGTCTAAATTGAAAGAGACGGCGAATGCACGGCGAATTAAAAGTTTTCTTTGAAAATGGAATAAATATTCTTTCATTGACGAATGGTAGGATATTTCTTGTAATGATACAATTATAATAAGATGGAACGACATGTTATGTTTATTTTTACGTCTAATGTAGCTAAATATAATTTAGTAAAATGATTAAATAATTTTGCATGTGTAACATTGCGTTGCGCTTGATACGTTTATTCTTTGCCAATTATTATGCAAATTAATTAAGTTACTATTAAGTTTGTTTCTGTAAATAGTCTATCGTTAACAATAAAGGGTTATCTATCTATTTACGATTATGCACTCTTTAGACATATTTTAAGTGAAAATAAACGTATAAGTCTGAAAGTGGTTTTGGAAGCTTTGCCGTCTTAGGTCATGTAGTACTAGCCCTTTCAGGTACTGCTCAAGAATACACTTTCTTGACAATGTATTATCAAATTATTTTGAAATGTAATATTAACGGTTTTATTCCTATATTTTTATTATAAATGTAGAGGTACACATTTAAGAGTTTATTTTGCATATACAAGTGAGGTTGGATATACCTACAAGTGAGGATAACATTATCAGTACCTTGTAGTTCAACATAGAGCTTTTAGCACACAATATTTGTTATATATTGCTAGTAGCATAAGACCCGGGCCTACTTGACCTTAAGGTAAATGCACCACTAGTGGTAAGTACAAATAATACTGTAGTAAAAATAATCCACTACATTATTAAGTTAATAAATTCAAATTTCAAACTAATCTACACGTAAGAGTTTGTTACCCATTTGTAGGGAATAGTAAATCTTTTGTTCCTTTAAGGTGGAAAGTTTATTATATTTGTTGAATCATGTTTGTTGTCTAAAAATATAATTATCACATTATTAAATTAGCGGCATCTATTAATAGTTGAAACTAATGAAGCTGGGAATGGAGATAGGGAAGCAGAAGACAGACTTTGCTTGCGAGGTGCTGAAGATTTTGTAAAATGGGACTACAGAAACTCATTTTACTAGTTGATAAATCAATGACTGGCCAATGGAAATGCGCCTGATACGTAGACTCTTTTGATAAATAAAAATAAACGAGTTTCAGTTATGCTAAAGCTAACCTTCTTTGATGAAATAATAAATAATGTCACTAAATATTTTTTTAATATATTTTACATCAGAACTGTGCCTTCCAACAATATTGATACAACAATACTTTATTCACTGAAAACAAAACTTGATTCTGAATTCTTTGTTCCATATTTACGGTTGTATATGGAACTGCATATTAATGGCATGTACAACTCTATATTTTGACTACATTGTGTGTATTCGACTTGGCAACTCGTACCGCTTGAAAATTCAGGCTTCGACGCCGCAGGGTCCGGAGGTGGGATGAGGGGGGGAGTAGTATGGGGCAATCGTTAGTGACATTTCGTATTCATGACGTCAACCCCGAGGCGATTGTTTGCAATATTACTCTAATTGGAATTGAAATTACATGCACACGCTAGTTGCTGTAGTGTGAGTGCACGTTAATATTATCACAGATATAATATTAAAGTAGTAACGATGGAGCTCGATGGTGCTAGCACGTTCGGTCTGCGATAACGATGTTAAGCAACAATCGTAAGTGTTCGTCATGGGATGGGTGACCCCAATTTATTCTATCTCTAATTTCTACATGCTTTGGAGTGTGAAAATATAAACGCATCTATCTATGTTTACAAATATTATAATAAGAGAATTTGTAAAGGACTTAAAACATCTGGGCTGACTTAAATGTCACCAATATATAGCTACATTGTGAGAGAGACTGACATTCGTATGGTCAGTCTATCTGACAATGAGGTGTTAATGCATCCGCCGTATAGTCCTGACCTTGCACCTTCAGATTTTCACCTGTATCGGTTTCTTCAGAATTATTTAGGCAGTGTCATGTTAACATCACGCGAGGACTGCCAAAACCACTTGTCGCGGTTTTTTGATCAGAAGCCCCAAAATTTCTATAGCAAGTGGATCGTGAGGGACATGATCCACTTGCTACAAGATGGCAAAAATTTATCGGACAAAATTTTACCTAGTTAAATATAAATAAACTTTATTAAAAAATGTTTGAATTTTCATATAAAATGCGAAGAAACTTTATATTCAAGTATGAATAATATTTGTTTTAGCGTTTTTAGAAATGCTATCCAAAATATCTATATCATGTGGACGAAGTCGCGGGCAAAAGCTAACATTCCTATCACTAATCAACAAATTTAATAAACTGAAACGCGTTTCAATTATGTGGTCTTTATTAATAATTATCGATCTTTAAATAACAAAATTTCGTTACCTGTGAGGCCTGATGCCTAGGTAAAAAAAAGGAATTCTATGTCCATCATTAAGAAGTCCGTCAGTTAGTTAATAGAAAATATAAGACACGTATTTTTTTACTTCATTTCAACAAGAAATAGCTAAGATAACAGACATTAAAGTTGAGGAATCGCTCCGTCACAGTTTTGTACAAAAAGCGTGACGTCATGTGACATTTTATCTCAATGTATTGCCGTATTAAATTATTACGCACAAAATAAGAAAACACGACCAAACAAAAAGAATTATAATCCCTATTGTCTAATGGCATCCCTTTCAAAAGTATAGCGAATTATGGAATTACATGTCTAACTTTTAAAGATCCCTATTTGAATGAATGTAGATTTCAATAATCAATGAATACTTAATTTACAACTTAATTTATCTCTTGACAATTTAACTTTTGTTTTGTTTTAACATCTACATTGTGACATAATTTATAATTTTTAATTCTAAGCATTTGACATTTATTGTACTTAATTGAAAATTACCTAACAATTAACATTAATTTTATATACTTATGATTATTTTTAAAATAAAAATTAGGGACGAATGTGAATTTAAATGAAATTTTATGAATGTAAGATATTGAGGAAAGTGAAGATATAGAAGATTTTATTGAGAGCATTTACTATTTACAATGAAATTTTAATTTTAAATTAAATTTGCTACTGTAAGGGTACAGGGTGTCACATAAACTGTACCTAATAATAACACCTGTTTTACATGTATGTGACATGCAATAAATGAATTATTAGTATTATTATTATTATTAGTATTAATATAACAAAACCTTAGTTAATCCCGTTGAAAGATTGCTGTTAGCATCCAACTTTTTCGTTTGACGTTTCTTGATAACTTTTAAAGATATTTCCGTCTAACGCCTAATAAGTCCAATTAACGCCATATTCACGATGTCGTTCATTCAACAGGTTGAAAAAACGTCGCGATCGCAATTGCTATTACATGTCAAATAGTTGTATAGTGAATTTCGAGAATGTCTTACAAATGCTAAATTAAAAAGGTTGCAATATATTTTAAAAGTGGACAATTAGCTCCCTGATTCTTGGCAAAAACACCCTTGTTTCAGTTTAATACTTTTTTCAGCTTAAAATCCTACCATCGACCACAGCGCTGTGACGTCATAAAGCTTCGATGAAATAAAACTTTTATTGCCTTGTAAAGCAGGTTTTATTTGATTGAATTTCTAAGTCTGCGCTGCGTAACGCTGCATACAACGTTGAGTTCAATGAATTTTTAAAATCTATCGAGTCTATTAAATGCAAACAAATAATCAAATTATTCTTTTTTAAATAGATATTAATTAAGTACAGTAATGTAAAGTGATTATATAATTTTTATATAAAAACTGACTGGTCTAATTGTGTCATATATTAATAAAATTAATTTGAGGTAAAAAAGTGTATATCGGAAAATAAAATTGTTGCCTTTAATATTTTCCTTACATTTTAAACTACAAATATTTATAAATATTTCAAAACCAAGATATATTTTAAATTAAATAAATATTTTGCATGTAGAGTGGTTGTCATGCCAATTTGAAAAATCAAACACTTTTATTGTTTGATTCTTATTCATAATTTATTTGATATTAATCAGTTCTTTTAAACTTATCTAATAAATAATAAACCATACACAATAAATATTATATATTAATACTAATGGTGCAAATTCTGTTGTACCATCAAAATGAATCTAATTTGAATGTGGGTTTTCTTTAACAATTTCTGTGGTGATGTATGTGGTGAGCGTAGGAATATTTATACTCCTTTATCTTTAGATAGTGTAAAACAATGTGACTTTCCCTTATATGGTCAGATCTATATATAACACATATTAAAGCGGTTTTCGTCAATATAAAGTGGTTTAAGACAAAGTGTTGTAATGCATAATACAGGACCTCGCAGGCGAAGATGCCGGCAGAAACCTTGTGCCTACAATAATAAAATAAGTGAATCATATTAAATTCTTGGTTCACGTCTAGTGATAAATTAAGTTCAGTAAAGGTCTTTCAATATTGTAGTAGATATTACATATATTTATATTATGAATAGGATAGGCTTTATTATTTTCTGTTTGTTAGCATTGAATTAGTAACTATTGCATCGACAAGATGTACACCAACGAGAAACACGAAGCTACGAGAAGCTAAGCTACGCGGATGACATAGGCTATAATTAACGCGGCGAAGTCGCGGAAAACAGCTTATTTATTTAATGAAATTTCGCAAAAGTTATATAACATTTGGACGCGCTAGGGTCGATGGTCGGCCATATTTATTTTGATACTAAATAGTCCTGAAAACATCAGTAGATCATAATCTGGTCCCGATGATAATATACTTTGAATGTTTAGATGATAATGACTTTTCCGTACCAATTAAACGTTTTGTGGTTTTATAGATTTCCTTTATAAATAGATACCAACCTTATTGGTATCCATAAGTGATATGTACAAAGTTTGTTTGATTTTTTAAAACTTGGATTAGTTAACACTTATTCTCATTTCAATTGGGTAAAACTTCAAATAATTTTTATCCCTCATGAATAGTATCACACATTGAAATACAGTTTGTGTATGAATTATAAAAAGTATGACTGACCTGTGTGATCTTGCAACGACCGGCTCAATGGTGGAGCAGGTGGCGTCGCCGCGTGTTCACCTCCATATAACCCTCCAAATTCCTCCGCCGAAGAAGACGACGCATTGCTGCACTTCCGTCCCTTATCCGGAGTATATTTACTTTCACCGCCTGAAGGTAAGAATTTCGCATCCGTCTGGTGCTCGTCCAACAGGCCCGGCACTCCGAGGAGTCCCCCGACCAGATTCGGTCGGAGCTCCTCCATGATCTTGGAGCCCTGGCCGCATCCACCGCCGCCCGTGAAGTTGAGCTGGCGGCTGAAGAAGGCCGGGAATATGTTGAACTGCTGGGGATCCGGCAGCGCGGCTAGTGGCGGCGCGGGCGGCTCGTTGGCCCCCGCGCACGCCGCGCTCTTGAACTCCACCGTGCTGTGGCCGGTGCGCTGGCTGAGCGACCAGCGCGACTCCTCGGGCTGCTCGTCGGTGCGGCCCCGCCGCTCACTGACTAACCACATTATAGTGACGCGCCGGCCGCGCCGCCCCGCGCGCTAATTGTTCGCGACTGCGCGACAGGGCCCACATCACCGCCCACGCCCATAAGCCAGACACGGACGTCCACACTACCCCCGCAATCGATGTAAGCCGATGTTGCGTCTCATTCAGCCGCGTTCCCTTAAGGGGCGGCTATAAGGGGCGGCGGCGGCACCCCATTGGTCGAATCGAACACCCTCGTCTCCCGCACCCTTCGTTTTCTATCGCTTCAGGCAGAACGTTCTTTGTTTTATTGTCCCCATGGCTCGTAGATCTTGCGTTTAAAGTTTATGCATTGCACCATGTTTTGTTTCACAAAACACAAATCATGCATGAAGTTCTTGAGGTAAATGTGAAACAAAGATGGTGTGTGTGTGATGTTGTTGGGAGTGCCGAGTGATTGTGTGGTGTTTGTATGAGGATTGATGTGTATAAGTGTGTGACTCGGAAGAATGTTTTATGTATTGATGATTAAATATATTTTGTTTCTTTAAACTAGCTACTAAATTTATATTAAGAATGCAACCTTAAACGTATTTAATATTTTCCATACCTGTGATGTCATAATATAGGTAATAGAAAATATATTTTTTTCTGAATAGAAAAGAATAGGATATTGCTTTTAGAAGTATTTGTTTTTCATTAAAAAGAATAGTGGTTAAAGATAGACAGAAACTTTAAAATAGACAGAAAATGGAGTTTAAAAAGTGGTGGTTCTTAATTCAAATTTACTTCTTTATGTGTTGAAAACCATTACGATCTTTGATTGTGCATACAGCGGTTTGTTACGAAGTGACTAGCATATTTATCAGTTTTACCATAAAATAAAAAAGTATACTTGTAAATATTAGAGGTAACTTTACGATTTTCTTTAATGGAGTTTTTTTTTTATTCCCTAGAAATATTTTAATTATTGATGCAGTTTTCTCATTTTTTATTATAACTTATTTAGCGTTAATCTTTTTATACATATGTACAATCAGCAGTACGTCATGTTATACAAATCTGACTAATTTCTGCACTTAATTTTAAATAACAGCTTTGATATAAGAATCTAGAACCAACTGCAGAAATTTGAAATATTGCCAATAACAAATTAAAAAAATAGTCATTTTTGGCGTGTACAAGCCGTCATAAGCAGAAAGAGTTTTCTAATATAATTTCAGTTCCTTATTTTACTTTGATTTTTTATCTTTGGTTAGTTCAACATCTATCTATTGTTTTTGATGATTTGATTATTAAATGTATAAATTATATAGACATATCCTTGTATGTTATGTAATAAATTAAATAGGGACGATGACTGTGTTTATGTTTGTCCGTCAGGTAAATAACTTCATATTAACACGTATTTTTTATTTCCTTTCATAATCAATAAATTACTGCGAAATATTGAGATGAAATGTAGCATGACGTCACATCTTTGTACATTTTCTACATAATTGTGACGTAGAGAGCCCTCACTTTTCAACTTACTGCCTTACCTTAGCCATTCGAAGCAAAAAAAAGTATTTTATATTGTCGGAACTAAACAGGTTTTTTTTTACTACAGCAACATCCCTATTGTAAGAAGGAATTTTTAAAGTATCAATTACCTACTGAGATATTATGATGGTATAAAATTGAAATCGCATTTTGTCATCCGATAAGATCTCACTCCCTTCACAACCCTACCGATTATGTTATGAATATCATTAGTGGTATCAGGTTTTCGCACCGAATGTCGACATTTTTTTTTACAAACACAACTTTAAAAATAAGTTTTATTTTTCAATACCGTATACATAAATAGTTACAGTGAAACGAGGAATAAGCAAAAAACAAAAAAGGCTATAATTCTATAATTTCATAATTATATTATATTAAATTTAAATAGCATAAGCAAGAAAGTAACAAGACCCAGATTTTTATGGAGCAGCATTTAAAATAATGATTTTAATTTTACGTTGAACTTTGCAAAATAGAAAAACAGCGTGATAATGATGTATGAGTTAATGCTGATTATGATGAAATAATCGTTGAATTAAATAGTGACATTACTTTATTTTTGAATGAATATCCATTACCGTCGAATATATCTATCTCATGATTAGTTTGACTTATCTTATTGTAAAGGCGGCACATACGGACGATTGGATTATAAAAGGATATATTGTTGCGGAAAACTTGCAATGAAAATGTTTTCGGATTACGCGTCCTGTAGGAAATGTTGAAATTTATGGAGGATAGTAAGGATGGTGACTCAATGTATGAATGAACAATTTTATGCAAATGGATCAAATCACTTTGCTTTCGTCTATCTTCCAGGGTCGCAACATTAAACCTAGACAATCTCTCGTTGTGAGATCTTAATTTACGAGATAGACCTTGTCGATAGGATGCACCGCAGGAACTTCTTTTGTACACCCTCCATTAGTTTAGAATGAGTGTCATAAAGGGGTGACCAAATGACTGATCCATAAGGTTACTTCTAACTAAAGAATTGAATAGATAAATGATGCTGCGGGGATTTCTAAATTCTTTAGTGACTCTCAAGACGAAACCTAAAAGGCGAGTTGCTTTGTTGTAGATATTATTATAATGTGCTTTGAAGGACATTTCTGAGTCAAAGATTATGCCTAAATCTTTTGCTTGTTCGACACGACTCTGCGGAAGACCACCAATGTTGTAAGTGAAGCTTGTGACATTGACCTTTTTAGTAAATGTCAATACAACACACTTGTTGATATGCAAGAACATTTTATTGTTTCTTCACCATAAGGAGATAGTCTCCAAATCAAGTTGCAGATTTTGAGCATCAGTTGTGTTTTTAATGGCGGAGAATTCCTTTAAATCATCTGCGTATAATGAAGAGATTTGAGAAAATACGGTAATTTTTTTATATGTTGGTCCCTGCCGGGAATCGAACCCGGAATTCAGAGATGGTAACACTTTGAAAACGACGTGAGAGCAACTCGGTCACGGAGCTCATCACAATAACGATATTACCTTTGTCTATCATACTCCGCAGGTACTAGGTAGGCATAGAATCGATGTCGTTTTGAACTAGGTGAATATATTTGTAAATTTAAAAGTGAGTAGATATTTTTCGAAATAAAATTTCGAAAATAAAATCTACAGTACAAGTTTAGAGGTCTTGAATATAAATACATCATTGTAAATAAACTTCAAATTTGTAAAAAATTGTTTCAATTTGTAAAAAAAGCTTCAGGGTTTTATTTCAATGTTACAACGATTAATTCTTTAGTTAACACATTTTTCAATGTTAAAAATTATGACTTGATACACATCGATAGATATTTAACAATATTATCGCTTGTCGATAGATGGCAGCGTCTTTTAATTTTTATTGGCGCCAATTTTTTTGAAGTATATTTATTTTAAAAATAATGACTGTTTAGCTTTAATTTTATAGTTAACTTTAATTAACTATTATAGTTAACTGTTTTAGAAGTATGATTTATTATAACGATGTTTCGTGGGTTTTAGTGCAACTGTTGCCAAGTCAGAACAGCACATCAGCTCACTACAAAATTCTTCTTCTCGGTCGTGTAGCTCTTGACAAAGCGGTCATAGTCATTATGAGGCATCATCATCATTGGTGGCTGTTGAATACCTTCTCACAATTTCTCGCCATTTTGATCTATTGGCCGACATTTTGATGCATTTGTGTAGTGTCTCTAACTGCCGACTTTATTTAGTCAGTCCATCGTATGGGTGATCTGCCACGTGATCTGGTTACTTCGACTCTTCCCTAGATCACTAGATCTCTAGTTCTATTGAGTCACGGTTGCACCTCGAGATATGCCCGAAGAACTTCAAAATTCGAGACTGATGATAGACGTTGCGTGATGTCGAGTTCTTCAAGTATGGAGGTTCAAGGATTTTCCTCTAGCACCATATCTCATCCCCTTTTCTTATTCTCGTAATGTCTACGTTTCAGATGCGTATAAAAATATGGGAAACACATAGTTACATAGTAACATAGTTAAGATTCTTCCATGTTTTCTTTAACTTATCCATTGTATTCCTGGCTATTGCCATTCGTCTTTTGACCGTGTCTACACAGTCCCTATTATTTGAAATTAAAGCAAACTGTAACTTTCGACGAGCTGTTATTGAGGCGGTCCACAGCCATCATTTTTGTTTGCTCCGGTTGATCTTTAATCCAAACATAAGAAGCAGTCCGACGAGAATCCGATGCGTATAAAGTGGTATCGTCTGCGTAACGTAAGTTTCCGATTTTACAACCACCATTCACCACACCATCATTCCAGATGTTATAAAATGCCTTTCTCTAATTGATTTTGAATTTAGCTAAAACATATTAAAGTTTATAATAGATTGGTTGTAGTGATGTATGCCACTTTTCTTAGAACTAGAGTGAATATTTTAAAACCTTTTTAAAACGATCTTATATTTCTGGTTGATGGATTTAGGAGTACATGGCAAACGCGTGTGTTTACATACGGTAAAAGAATCTTACATAAAAGAAAATCTATTTAAGGTTATTTGTCTGTGCTTAATATTGATTTAAAAATAGGTAATGTTGTGTACGTTTGTTAATAATCCCTAAATCTATGATAAGGATGGATAGGTACTTCCATAGAAAGACAGGTAAATCGACTTGGTTTACGTTTATTTCAATTTTTTTTACGGTAGAAGAGTTGCGTTGCGAGACTTGTGCCTTTTTGTAGACTTTAAGTTTTTGATGGGATTTAAATAAAATAATAAGTATAAATAAAATATAAAATAAATATTAGAAAACATCACATACATATATCGCTTAGTATGATCCAAGATGAGCAGCTAAAGTCCCCGTATTTTAGAGTATCTGAGATAACGATGGAGCCACAACATCCAGACCCAGACTCGAAACAATATAGAAAAGTAAATTTTCAACATTGACCCCACCGTTAATCAAACCCGGGACCACAGAGAAGGCGACACCTGAAACAGGCTTGCGACACTCGGCTACAATCTT